ATATATATGTATTGTGTATGTATTATGTATGTATGTATGTATGTATGTTTATATATATATATATATATATATATATATATATATATTATAATATATATATATTATATATATATATATATATATGATCTATGTATATATATGTATATATGTTTATATTGTCCACCTTTTTTCATATGTGAATGAAAACATTTTTCTTTGTCAACAGGTACATCCAGAAAATAGTGAATGGACGTGCTTTGAACAAACTGCAAGTTTAGATGTCAAATCTTTCTTTGGGTTTGAGAGTACAGTTGAAAAAATTGCAATGAAGCAGTATTCTCAAAACATATCAAAGGTAATGCAGTATAAGTTCTCCCTTCAGACCTTCAGATGATTTTCTTTTTTAACTAGTTCATTAGGTTATGGTATTTCAGACTTGACTTTACATTATTTTCCATTATCTGGGTTTGTAGTTCTTCAGCCTTACCGACAGTTAATTTATCTTTCTAGTACAACTACACAATGCCTTCAGTTCACAAGATGCAAAATTGTATCTTATCTTTGTACTCATGCAGTGTGTTTCCTCAGGGCAAAGAAATAATTGAACACTTCATCGAAGTGCTACGAAAGGAGAACATCACAGAGGTTCCCAGATGGGTTGAGCCAACCACAAAGGCCACGGCCGAGATCTGTGATGACACAGAAGTTAAGAAGGAGGAGGAGAGCAGTGAGGCTGAGAGCAGCTCCGAGGAGTCCGAACTCAGGGAAAGGACCAGCAGCACCCCCTCCACAGGCCACCGAGCTCCATCTTGGGCCTCCGCTGCCACATTCCCAACATAGAGAAGATCAATCTCAATGAAGTAGTGCCGTAAGTCAGAATGGGTGACTTAATATCGTGAACTTGTTTGGAAAGAGAAGTTATTTTCAAATGTTTTCATTTTTCTTGATGTAGTTTAAAGTATGAGGTTGATTTACTCTTTAGAGAGAAATCTTTAATTGCTCTCTTGAAATATTATCAAGGTAAAAAATCTGAATCTCCATTTACCTTCATTTCTCTTTCATATCCATCTCTCTTTTCTCTACTTGTTTCTCGGGAAGAATGTTCTATGATATATTTAGATGTCATTGCCATTGGTTAGATAAAGACTCTTAATTCATTTCTGGCTTCTTGATTAGATAGGCAGTATCAAATGTCAGTCAGTTAAACCAGGAATTTCAAGGGATTTCTTGTTGCTAAATTTTTATGATGAGTCAGTGTGCTGCATTTTGTTTTTGTCCCGTCATTTTAGATCTTTTGATTACTTTCATTCTATTTGCTTTAGTATCATGTCTTTCAGTTGTTATTAATGGAGATATGTGTCATCTTGGCATACTTTTTTGTATTTCTATGTTTTATTGCTGTTCCTTATGTTTTATTGAGTTAAAAAGAAAAACTTGTTTTAAATCACTAAATTGAGTAATTATTTCAGTGCTTCTTTGTCTTGTGTCACCATTTTGATTGTAAAAGTAAAAGTCTAATAAGGATTCATAGTAATAACTACTTAATTTTCTTTTGTATGTATATAACTTTCCCCTTTTTGTAAAAGAGAAAAAAAACCCTTCATTAGTAAGAAAAAAAGAATAGAAATAAAATATTAAATAAAATCTCTTTACCCATTCAAAACTTCTTGGAAAAAATTTCAGATGTTTTCATGACAGACACAAAGTTCATTAATCGGTGTCTGAATAACGTAGTGACGGAGGAGGTGGATAATTGCCGAACAGATCAGGGTATCGCCTTCTTTCCTTTTTTTCCCTTTTGTTGTCCATTTCTTTCTTATGATGAGATGCACTTTTGCACTGCATTACGGTGGTGAGATGAGAAACGAGACTTTGTGCTATTATTAAGAGGATTGTGATTATTGCTATTATGCAGCTATTTTATTTCTTAGGTTTCTTGATTTTTATTTTATTTTTTTTTTGTATTTTTTTTGTGCTTATTGTATGTCCTGTATATTTTTTTTCAGTGTAGATGCTTTCAGGTACCCATAGAAGACATGGTAGGAAGAATAGACGCTGTAATTGTATTATTCATTTTCTGATCAGGTAGATATGTTATTATCTATGAGGACATGGATCTATTCTGCTTCTTTGATGTAGCTAAACCATTTAAAGGAACTATTTGCATTTTCTACCAGATAAGGAGTAGGTGAATATGTGAGAGAATGAATCATAGAGAGAAAATGAGTGAGAAAGAGAGAGATATGTGTGTGTGCGTGTGTGAGTGTGTGCGTGTGTGAGTGTGTGCGAGTGTGCGTGTGTGCGTGTGTGTGTTTTTAAGGCATACTTGAAACCAAACTTAAAACAATTTTTCATTTAATATTGTTTTTCTCTTTTTCTTTTTATTTTCCCTTTTTTTCTTTTCTTTTTGAATTGCTATTCACCTTTCAGTACACCCAGTGTGGAAAATTCACTCACTACACTTCAGCATATCAGTATCCTCTTTGTTTGTATTTTCATTACTTCTATTAATTTTACTTTTTCTCCTCTCTCAACTATCGTGTCTTTGCTGAAAGAGTTGATATTCAATTTAGTTTTCCTTTGTTTTTTCTTTCTTTTCTTTTCTTTTTCTTTTCTTTTTCCTTTCCCACTTTTTTTTTCTATTGTACGTCATCATCTTCCACCATATAACTTAACCCCAACTGAGGCTGGGGCTTTATAGAGCTAGTCCTATAATTTAAATTGTTTCTTAATATAAAGCTTAAAATTATTACATGTAAACCTAAGCTTTCTTGTCTGTCAATAGGATTGCTCAAACCATGAAATATGTTTAATAATATTTTTTTCAAGATGAATCAGTTGCCAAGATTTTTTTTCTTTTCATCATGAACTAAAGAGGCAAGTCATTGAAGAAGATTAAGCAGAAAGTTAGAAATAGTCATTATAAGATGGATTGGACTGAATATTGACAATTATAATTTCCTGCCAATTAGATAACAACAAGCTGGATGCCGACTATATCAAGAGGTGCTTAGGTGACCTGACCCCACTCCAGGAGTCAAGATTAATACAGCTCAAGAAATGGGTCGGAGAGCTTCAGAAAGGAAAGGTGAGGGACCCCTTGCATTTGTCGATCTTCCTTAAGCTTGTGTGGGAGTTCTTGATTCGGTTTTCCTGGGACTTAAGTATTATCTTGATTTTAGTGAATGAGTTTTAGTGATGATTATTGCTCAAGGTCATCAGCAGAAGGGGATGAAATTTTAGTTGCTTTTGTCATCTAGTGTCCTGGGTCTTTAGGATTTCCATGTAAAGCTTATTTCACATAAATAACCTCTTAGTTAGTTAAAGAAAAAAGAATAGAAAATGAGATAAATAAAAAGGAAAATAATGTTTGAGCACCACTGCTTCTGTTACTCCAAAGGTCCCCAGCGATGCTTGCCTGCTGAGATTCTTGCGGGCGAGAGACTTCAACATCGAGAAGGCCCGGGAGATGCTGAGCCATTCCCTGATATGGAGGAAGAAGAACCAGATTGACAAGATCATGAACGAGTACCAGATCAATCAGGTGGTGAAAGACTACTTCCCAGGAGGCTGGCACCACCAGGATAAGGGTATGGACGTCTTTCTCTTCCTTACCTCTTTCTTTTGTAGTGTTAGTAGTTTTATTAGGTTTACCTGTCTTTGAATTATAATGAGAAAGTTAGACTTATTACCCTACACTACTTGTTAATTACCATGTTCTTTAGAAGTGTCTGGTCTGTCATGATTGCAAAGAGAGTGGTTGTAACACTTTTCAAGTTTGTAACTCAGTTGATGATATGGCTTACATTACTAATATTAATATTCTAAAATGTTGTGCAGAGGGAAGACCTTTGTATCTTCTGAGACTGGGTCAGATGGATGTCAAGGGACTGGTGAAGTCTGTAGGTGAAGAGGGACTGCTCAAACATGTAAGTGTATGGACTAAAGGAATCTTACAGTTATGTTTATAAGCACATTAGATTCTTTTGGAGACAAGAGTTAATGTACGAAAAGATAAAAGTGTATCTAGTGCCAGTTCAGATTGTGTTGTTTTTATATTGAACAATGTTTTATTCCCATGAAAGACTCTGCACATCTGCGAAGAAGGCCTACGGCTAACTGAAGAGGCCACAGCCAGTCAGAGTCAGCCGATTACAAACTGGACTCTCCTGGTTGACTTGGAAGGCCTTAACATGAGGCATCTGTGGAGACCAGGCATTAGGACCTTACTAAAGATAATTGAGGTAAGGGATTATGTTTTTATTCAGTATTCTCGGGATTTGGTTGTTCCCTTTTGAATGTATGACCACACGAGAATATTCATCTTTATTCGTTTATAATATTACAAGCTTATGCTCTTCATTTGTATGCAGATCGTAGAGGCAAACTACCCTGAGACAATGAGTCGAGTTCTCATAATTCGTGCTCCTCGAGTTTTCCCGATCCTGTGGACACTTGTTTCTACATTCATCGATGATAACACAAGGTAGTACAGAAAACAGCATATGTAGAAAAGTCTTGAGTCATGTTATAAAAGAGAAAATATTGTTCCCTTTACATTGGTTGATAAGCTAAGCTTGGTTGTTTGTTACAAGCTCCATATATATGTATCTTGTTAATGTTTTTCATGAATCGATCAGAAAGCTCCAGTATAGTATGATACTTGTTTAAGTCAAAAGCAATTATAAACCTATTTGTGTACTCATGTTTATATCTTCCTTTATTATTTACAGATCAAAGTTCCTCTTCTATGGTGGAAATGACTACCAGGGCCAGGCGGCTTGGTTGACTACATGCCAAAGGAGAACATCCCTGATTTCTTAGGAGGTGAATGTAAGGTAAGGCAAATATTTTACTTTTGTTATTATTGTCATTATTATATTTATGTATATAAGTCTGTATTATTTGATACCATTGAATTGGATATTCTTTTTGTTAGTAAGTAGAAAAACTAAGTTGGTATAAAAGAGCTGCACCAAAGATGTCATATTAAATCTCGTAATGCCTATTTATATAAGAATCTCCTCAAGCCAATTTAAGGGAAAGCAGAAAATATATTCACATAATGCTTTTAGAATTACTTGTTACTGTAAGGATTACGCAGCCAAGATAACCATTTCTATATATATCTCTTGTCTGTCTCTTCTTTTTCTGTTGTGGTTGGCGTACTGGCAACAGCGAAGCACACTTTCTCGCTTAGGCCCAGTACCTGAGTCCTTGTACACTGTCATGTACCCAGACGAGTTGGAGCTTAGAGTAAGGGATTGAAAAATGCGCGATAAAAGAAAGGGAGTTTAGATGGCTCGTGCATTCCCTGGAGCCCTAGATCCATTGTTGTATGCACCGCGGTCTCAACTCAGATGCCATTATTTTCATGCACATTATCATGAGAAATGTGCCTATGGGAAGTGCACTTTCTCATTCCTTTGATTTTTTTAAACGTTTATTTTCTGCTGATATTATTATTATTGTGTTTTGACGAGGTGCATTCAAAAATCATCTAGCAGTCAGTTATTTTGTCTTTGGTTAATGCTCTAGATCAGGATTAACACATGTTGACTGCAGCACAAGATGCTCTCACATAATATATATAAAGCTTTGGTTGGCTGTTGTTGGTAGCTCTGAAAGAAGATGGGTCTTGAAATGGTGTATTCATAGATTGAAATTATTAGTGAAGACATTTTTATATATATTATGTGGTGTCATCTTGAAAGTTGATTTGTTTGCATAACTTACTCACACAATGAAGAAAGAATGCTCAGTGTGGTGTTTGAAGTTAGCCATTTTCATGTCATTGTCAGAATTTCTAAGACATTAGGTATCCATCAGGAAAGATGTTAAGTCTCAAGGCTTTACATCCATCGGTTAATCTCACTAATCAAGTTTTCTGTGTCGAGGTTAAAGTCAAATGATTCAACAGCAAGCTGAGTATTTGGTGTTTCATTATCGTGCTTGAAATAAGAGAACACAAGTTTTCAGTGATAAAGTTCCACAAAATGTGATATGAATTTTTACAGGAACACTTTCACATTTCATAAGTTATTTTTTTCATATTTTGGTATTTAAATGGAATTGTTCACATCGGGAGATTCTTTTTATTCCATGATGTGCACTGAGTATTGCTATTTTATTTCTTTTAAAATCTTATGTTCATACAAGAAAAAATTAATAAGAAGGAAATTTTACTTAGTTTTGCTGCTCCATCACTCCCAAGTGGGCACACACATGCACTCAAATTTCACTTACACTTACACTTACACCAACTCATTCTCACTCACTCACACACACACACACACTCATTCTCACACACCACCACTCACTTGCATACTAACTCTCACTCTCACTCTGTCAGCACATATTGCTTGATTATTATTACCATTATTAATTAAACTGTTTCATTAGGAACTTTTGGAGCAGTTGAATAGTATATTTAAGTAAATAGAAATAAGAGAATGGTAAACAAATTGCATTTCTCATTAAGGCAAGATACTTTCATATTGACATCATATTTTGTGGATTTGTTTTTATGGGAATGGTTATGAAATTGAAAACTGAGAAAATTGTCTTTGTCAGAAATGCAGAATATGATTGCTCATACATACAAAAGAAAAAAATATATATATACAGGTACCAGACCATTAGCTGGAAAACTGTCATGTTTGAAGTGGTGATTTTGAATATGACAGATTTTGCAGCAGTTTGGCACGGTTGTTATCATATTTTTGATGTGCGAATTTCCTGTTTGTGCAGTTGTGATTTTTTGGTCAATGCTCTATTACAATTTTCATTTGATACTATACCTCAAGCAACTCCAGTAGAAGTTAGTATTGGCAGAGGAAAACCAGGGATTTTGTTTCTGCTTTTCCTTGCATATTTGTTGGAAGAAATATTTGAAGTGATAAAAGATCAAGTAAGACCTTGGGATTGCAAGTATATTGGTATATATCCATTATACAGTGTTGTTTGGTTTATATTCCTTTATTCATTTTATAGAATATAATAAAAAGTAAGCCTTTTGCCGGTGTATGGAAATCACGAATCTCCTTAGGTCAAGTTTACTGGATAAATGGTCCTGTACCTGTATGTATATGTACCTGTGCTGATGTCATATCTCTTCATATATGATAATGACTTTGATCTTTCAAGAGAAAAGTGAATATGGGATCATAGATATGGATGATAGGAATAAAAATAAATGGATGCAGTCATAGATTTGTATCATGTGGATAAGTGGAAAGTTGAAGGAAGGGAAGTAAGGCAAGCATTTTTGTTTTTTAATTTTGATTTTTCCTGTATAAAAGTGATATTGGTAGGTATCTTGTTAGGGCTCTGAAAGATGTGTTGGGTGTTTGTTTAGTGTCTGTAATGCATTTTGTTGTGAGCCTAACATGTATGTGCCAGAGATTTGTTTTAATAGCAGAAGCATAAGATACCAGCATTTACTTGAGGAAAATGCCGTTTTGAATACTGATTATTTTAATTTTTTTCATTTTGTTGTTGAAATTCTATTTAATGCAGATAAGACACCTGTTAATTTGTATTAATAACATGCAATAAATCTAATTGAAATCTATGAAGGTGGTAATATTTGTGGCTAATTTTGGTAAGTTTGTTTTAGCTTTAAATAAAACTCCTTACTTAGGAGGGCAGACATATAACAGTGAGATCATAAGGGAAGGCCAGAAAGAAAAGCCCAAAACACTGCTTTTTCTGTAGTTTTGAATAGCTTGTGAGTTAACAAGTGATTTAACCTTTAAGAAATTGGTTCCATGATATTAATATTACCAGAAAGCTAATCTCTGTGTGACTTATATTTTGTTTACCTTTTATGTGTTATTTTGATTAACTAATTGAACTTTAAATAATATCTGTAGTACGGTAGACACTTTTCTCGACTGAACTATCTATTTAGAATTTTCTCTCGAAATTGCTTTTAATTTTTTTGGATGTCAAGAAAATCAGTATTTTACAATTGCTACATAAAGAAACATGAAATATATGAAGAAAAGGCATACTAATTCTCTGACATGAATCAGTCTTTGATGCAAACTGTTGATGAAGTTAGGAATCGAAAAAGTATGTCTCATAAGTTATTGAAGTTGATTTATATAGTCTAGTAATTACCATTTCCCTTTGGGTTCTGCAGAGTATGGTGCACGAGGGAGGCTTGGTGCCAAAGAGCATGTACCAGCCTGGAGAGGAATTTGATGGAACAAGGCAACACATCCTCCTATCGGAACAGTCTGTTTATCACTCTGTGTCTCTAGGGCGTGGACAGGTAAGGGCTCTGACTTTCAGCTGTGGAGTTTCACGTTACATGAGAGGGTCAGGTTACAGAAATTTGCATGTGTGGTTAGCTCTTTCAGAGTTCAGCTTGTTTTATTCAATTTTGTATTATTTACAGAACCCTCAGTAGAATTGAAGGAGGATATTTTTACTCTGAAAATGTTATAAGATTCTTATATTTTATTACTTATAGATTTGACATAATTTAAAATCAAGGACTAGATATAGATATGGTGTATGAATCCCTTGATGAGTATAGTAAAACCTTCCATCATGACTTGCATGGTTGCAATTTTGGTAAAAGATATTTAAAAGAGAGATACTCCACAGGTGCATGAGGTGGTGCTGTTAATTGAGGAACCTGGTTCAGTTATCTGCTGGGACTTTGATGTCATGAAGAGCGATGTCACTTTCTCTGTTTTACGCACCAAAGTTCCCATCACAAACCGGCAGGAGCCACACTCACCTACAGGTAGTGCATCGTGTGGATGTCACACTTGGTTATCTTAATGTTTCAGAGCATTGATATTGTATATCTTGAATATTCTTATGTACTTGTAATAAATTTTATATACAAAGGTTGCATGTCAATTAATTTATGTAAAATCTTATTTTCTACGTCTGATTTATTTCATAATTCTTTTAAGGTGCAATGGGTGTGATTGATGCAGTGATTGGTACTGATGACCAGCATCGGTCTGTGATTGAGAAGACTTGGCGAGAAGGTCATGAGTACTTCCGTGTTGAACCTCAGCTAGTTTGTCATGATGGAGAAAGTATACAGGTTAGTTGCTACCTGCAGAATGAAGGCAGAAAACTTGCAAAGTTGATATTTTTGGGGTGAATATCCATCTGTATCAGACTTTTTTCGAGAATTTTGTATTTTTTGTATATACAAGGAAGGATAAGAAACAGAAGGCTTAAACCCCAAAGAATAGTTGAACTTTTAGTTTTCTGTCATTGGTTACGAGATCATGGAATACCTAGGTAAGTTTGGAATGTAATAGAAGATGAGGATTGATTAGTTTGATATTGTGTAATGTACACAGAGTGGGAAATAGTAGAGTTTGATTTTATCCTGTATAGAAGTTTGTTGGTAGTGCGTTCTTGTTTTTTGAGATTGAAACCCTTGTCTCTTGTTGACTTTTTATGTATTTAATTTGTGTGTGTGGTGATCACTTTTTATAGCCTGTCTGAAATAATGACTATTCTTTTAAGTAATCATAGACTTTACTTGCTTGTACTATGTCTTGCGTCAAGCCATCTTTCAAACTACCATTAAAGTGATAAGCTTAAACACTGGATTGTGTGATTATAGTAGTAGTATTTGTATACAATATTTTGTTTTTGTATGGAGAAGTTTCCTCTGAATTTCCAGTAGAGCAGTAAAACTAGTTAAAAGGGAAAAATTATAATCCAGTGGTTTGGCCAGTAAGGAACACTTACAGACCAATTTACTGTGATGAATCTGTCAAGTGTAACCAAGTAGTGATGAAAATCGTCTGCCACGGAAGATTTTCACTTCTACTTCACTTGAACAGTCTTAAGCTTTCTGTATGTTTTAATTCCCTTGTGTAAAAGCCTACATGTATGTTGATTTCTAGCTAATTTTATTTTTTAAATTATACCTGTGCTGCTTACTTCCATTGTATTCTTCTTGTTTTTGCATTTTTCCTTCCCCTTCTTCCAAGTTTCATGAGCGAGATGTGCACGAAACCTGCCGTATGGATCTACAGCGAGTCTATCGTGAAGGAGAAAGCTCTCAGGTCAGACCTACCGGATAATGATGTTAAAATAAGTGTCACAGATCTACGTTCTTCTTTCTCTATGGCCCATGAACACCTCATTGTGTTATAATACAAGAGGAATGTATACACTTGTTTAAACTGTGGGGTTGGGTGTGTGTGATTTTGTGCATGCATGTACAAAGACGATGTTGAATGTGGGTGTGTGGGTAAAGATGGTAGTCGGGTAGAGGTGGGTGTGTGGGTATGGATGGGTGGGTGGGTGGTTCTTGTTTGTATTGGCGTGTTCTAAAGATTTAAAGGTTACTGATATACGTCCTCTTGTGTTATTATTGCACTTTATTCTTCTGGTTCACTTTATTCCCAACAAATCATTACTGTAAACGCCTGCTATAGATTACTTAATATTTATTTATGGACAACACTCTCTCTTAACCCATAAGCTGCCAGCTAGATGGACACCTGAACTAACTACAATTGCCAGTCAAATTACCATATTTCTTCACTGTGTGAGAAAATGCATATTGTGCATATCAGAGAATACCCAGGACAAGAATGCATGGACTGTTTGAGCACAGTACGGGTCAAACCAAATGTCAAAAGAAGTGTCACTGGCACTGGGTGGTGGAGGGTCCTTGATCTTACAAACCATTTTATTTTCTCTCTGCCATGATAAGATAACATTAATAAATATTATTGATATCATGAAAACTAACATCTTTTTCTTTTCAAAACTGTATTAATAGTCACATTGTGGTCATGCATAATCTTCTGCTTCCATGCATTTGCACTGCATCCTTCTGCTTTCTTATGTTAACATTTAAAAGAATAAATGTTCGTTGTGACTCCAATTTGTGTATACATTAGATGATACACTTGATTTTTCTTTTGAATGGCAGTAGTTACTTGCATATGGTTTCTATGTTTATCAATATGCTCATCTTTGTTTTTAATATCAAAAAATGTTATTAATTTTTTCTTACTAATCTTTCTTCAGTTTCTTTTTGTTTTTCACTAATTACCAAAATATATATATTAAAGGCTTGAAAGATATGTATTTATATATCCATGTTATCTGGTAAAATGCATGGCCGGCACATTATGTAAACAAAATTAAATATATTATTTTCAAATTCAGAGTAATTTCATGTCACCATCTATGTCATGCCATTTAACCTTAACCCATAAGCTGCCAGCTAGATAGACACCTCAACTAACTCCTGTTGCCAGTCAAATTGCCATATTTCTTCACTGTGAGAAAATGCATAACTGTGCATATCAGAGGATACCCAGGACAAGAATGCATGGACTGTTTGGGCACAGTACGGGTCAAACCAAAAGTCAAAAGAAGTGTCACTGGCACTGGATGGTGGAGGGTCCTTGATCTTATATAATGTATTGCTGGCAGCCTGTAGATTAAGCACTTCAGATGGGTTTAATAGTATTGTCAGTTTATTGCCTTGGAGTTTATCCATTTCAAGGATGAATCACATGCATAGTATATCAATAATTCTTGATTGTTTTTATTTTTTATTTATTATTATTTTTTTTTATTATTATTATTTTTTTATTATTCCATGATTTCACATTGGCATGGTACCCAGTTTGAATTAATTTAAACAGATGCAGGCCTGTCAGATTGTAGTGCATTCACAGATTGATATTTCTTTTGGTGTATCTATATATATATATATATTGTAAGCAGCCCAATTCTTGCATTTAATATTCTAATCAACATTTTGTTTTTGCAGGGTCCCATGTGACATCACACATGGGGACATACATATTACAATGGCGCTACTATGAGTCAACACAGCACACCTCCCCCTTAGATATTATTGATACCATAACTGCACCCAAGGCAAAGATCATGTATTACTATGAGACTCTCAAGTCAGCAGACTATAGGTAAAGAATGAATTTCATTGTTGAAACCTTCATGATGATCCATTATTTGTATAATTGTACAGAAGGCTAAATATTTGTGCCTGGTACTATTGTGGCATATACCTCGAACATTTTTTATTCTTCTTTTTGTTACATTAACTCAAGCAATCTGTCCTTCTACAGGGGATCCATGACAAGCCTTCAGTCCTGTCAGAGTGGCTTCTCTTCCCTGTCATCCAACACCAACAAGTCAGCGACGTCATCTTGTCCGTCCCGCTGACCTTGATGAATTGAGTGTTAGGGATCAAAGTGTTTTTTGTAATCAGGGTTGAAATCACTCTCTTGACTGAACTGAAAGTAGAGTACAACTGTATTCTTTATCGATTTTCTTGTTTCTTTCTTTTTGTTTTTGAGAAAGAGCCTAAGTATTCTAAGCATTTTGGATCTTCAGGTTTTTGTAAATGCTAATTATAGCTGCTGTAAAGAAAAATTTGGAAAAGAAAGAAAGAAAAGAAAATATCCTGGTACTATCTTGGAATTTTTAGCATGAAAGACCCATCATTGTTATCATTCTTTTCCACCTTATGAGGTGGATGGTGTTATTCCAAATATTTCCAACTTTTGTGGTTTATGCAAATCACAGGTGTTTTAGATTGTATGGGGGATGTATATCATGAGACTTTTCAGTGGCATGGATAGTTACAGGGTATTTTTCATTATGGATTGAAATTTTTGAGGAATTCATCATTATTGTTCAGAATATCAAATTTGCCTGACTTCCCGCATAATGATTAATGTAGACTTTAGAATGCTCTTGCCAAACTGTCACAAAATGTACCAGTGATAATAGAGAAGCTCCTATCATCTTATAAGCAAAAGGTACAAACAATCGTCTCATAATGGTAGAGCCCAGCTGGTGCTTTTGGCATTGTACTCATGTCTCTAGTGGAATGGAAGCCCTTCCATGTGAAATGGGGTCAGACTTTATGTAGAAACCATCACTCTGTTACATTTGGCATTAAGGGTTTCAAATTCATGTTACCAAATATTTGTGTTTCTGGATTTTGCAAGCATGATTGATATTCTTAAAAAGGAGTTTAGGATTTCTACATTTTATTTTTTGAAGATGTTCTGTGAAACGGTACCCTCCTTGGGAATACCTCTTGGCATATACCTCTATTGTGAGTATTTTAGTATTTTCACACAGAAAATAGTCTAGTTTTTACATAGATTTATCAGTAAGAAAGATGCAAGTCTTGAGCTCAGCTCACTTTCAGTAATGTCTTGTTTAGACAATTGGATTACTTTATTTTTAATTTGTTTCTACATAGTTAAAAAGAAGTTTGCTCAATGAAATGGTACAATAAAAAAATACAAATGATCATATATATAAGTAATGTAGAAATACATCTAATAGATTGAGTAAACAGACCATCAGCTCAGTGTAGAGAAAACTAGCTTTCATAGGAACTCCTCATGAAAATCCCTGAAGTGCAGAGGAGTCCCAAGAAGAGGAATAAAAAAAAAAAGAATCCTAAACATTCTTATAACTGTAGCTTCTATGAAGACTTGATAAGAGTAGGTATTGTGCAGAGAGGATAACATGATTTTACGAAAGATTAGAAGGTCATGTATTATTTTACTATACTATTAGGGAATGCTCAAGAAATGTTTGAAATAAGAGATCAAAGAAATCAAATGTGAAAGTGTTTGTTCTTGTGATGAGCAGAGAATCTGTGTGATCAAATAGCGAGTCAAACTCCAAGATGATGTCCCCTGTAAGGTGTCAAACAGGCGTCTTTTCCCCCCGTCTTCCATAAAGGTCTATCATCCATCATTCTCCAACCAAGATTCATGACTTGAGCAAACGATTATCACCAGAGAGAAAGCTGAATGTGAGATATTGGTAATATTATAGTAATTCCATATATTTTAAAAACAAGTACGAAGAGTTAGTGTAGGGCCTAGCATAAAATATGAATTAAGAAAAAGCCTCTATATGCACATGTTTAGTATTGTTGTAAGGATTGTGTATGCATATGTACATGCTTGCACATTGTTAAAACTCAGTGTAGATCACTGAAGTCCATTTTATAGTGTAATTATTAAATGAAATCAGAAAAAAAAACCTATTGCAGAAACTGTACAACTGTCAGTATTTTATTCTGTTGATAGTATACATGCTTCATTATTGTTGTCTGCCGGAAGAAGGAAGCTAAAATTTGATATGTATATTCACGTAATTGATTAGTTCTGGAAAAAAAAAAGTGAATTGTCAGCAATCTTAAAGTTGTCCAGTGACTGTCTTTAGGCATGTTTAGTCTAGTCCAACCATATCATAAGAGATTGTTATAAATGATATTGTAGTTATTGCTGATTTTGGTAATTTTTAATACTAAGGCTGAACATAGGAAGATTTATTATTTCTAAAGAAGAATGTTGCTGGATAGTAATTGGATCGTAAAATGCTGTATAGAGAGAATGGGAAGCCAATTTTGTTTATCACAGCAATTTCAGGTTAAAATGTAAGCACTTTGTTGCCGCAAATTTTAAATTCTAAATTACATTTTTATTAAGTGTTGACATTGGGCTGCCTGGGGCTGATGTGCACCTGTGGTTCCCTAGCACCCACTTATTTATTTTCATTTATTTGAAACTTTTGTAATGTTAATTGCAATTTTTAAAATCAAAATGTAAGGAAAAATAAAGATGATCATTAGGACAGTTGCATTGTGGGTAATGATTCTCCCACCATAATTTATCATTATCATTTTATTGTATACTTTTTGTAATATCACTAGAATTTGATCTAAAAGTGTCTGTTCTGTTCTTGGTATGTTTTTAAGCCTTCAAAGAATTTTTACTTCAATATTTTACTTCCTTTATCCTATGTGGGCATTCTCAAAGACAAAAAAGGAAAGTTTTGTGTGCCTCACCTTAATTAAAACATAATTGTGCATTTCCCTTCCATGAAAATTGTGCTGATAAATTTGGTGATATGTGCTTCTTCCTGTATACCAGCTTGATATGATCTCTCTGCCAAGTTATTTATAGGTTTGAGTGATATTTAGTGTATAAAACTGGCTGTAGAGTATTTATGTATTTTAATTTCTTGGGAAATTTGTGTATTCCTTAAGGATATGTGTATATCTTATGTGTAGGCATAGGATACACCCTGTCATTAATGCATACACAGTAGCAACACAGTTGTTTTAAGACAGTTGTAGTAGATCTGCAACTAGTATTCTTGATTGCTGTACTGGTGCCCTGGTGGTAGGTACATATGTGGTAAGAGTAGGAAAGTGTACTTGTTACAGGTAGGATTTTAGGGGCTGGTCATTTTGATGAAAAATGTTCTTGAAAATGTTCTCGATTATTTCCCTTTTTTTCTCTCTTCACGTTGTTGTTTAAGACATCTTTTCTCTTTAATTTCTTTACATTGCATCACCTTTAAAATTATTCAAGGTGAATTTAGATTAAGGTTTTAATGGATAAAGAAATATTGAATTATAATATTAAGTTGTAAATTGGTTTTGTCAAATCTATAATATGCAAAGTCCTTGTTTTTTAATGGTGTAATTTGTTATTAATATTTTAACCATGAAATAAAAACTTTATTGAGAAGACCAGGATGACTCCCCCCCCCCCTCCCCATCTGATACTGGAAATGTTGGCAAGTTTAGATGAAAATAAAACAAATATGGCTTTTTTTAAGGTAGGATAATGCATTGTAAGTTGACAAGCAATAAAGACATATATGTAATAAAAATTTAGATATGAAAATAGACTTAAAGTACATGTAAATGACCCAAAATTTGGAATATAGTATGATGATTTTGTAAATTCCAGAGTGCTTGCTTGGTACCAATAGTGATACTAGACTGAGTCCAGATAATGTTGATTATATCTTATGTTACTGCATCATTGTATGTGCTTTTTAATTTGCACTCACACACACACACACACACACACACCACTTTCCTAAGTTTACATAAATATAAACATAGGTATTCGTACTTTTAAAAAGAAGAAAAATGCAGCCGTAAAAAATAGGATTAGAAGTCCTTTTTCACATGGTTCTTGATTTACTAATGTTATATATAATTTAAACAATAAAAAAAATTGCTGATTAGGTAGTGTTGCTATGTGCTTTATTATATTCTGTAAATTAAAGGTGAAGTATTACATTATCTGGATTATGGAGCTTAAAACAAGAAACTTTGTGATGACAAGTTTCTTACATAAATAATGTACTTATCAGGGTGATATTGTAACATAGAATCCGTGCTGCTCTTTTAGTGAGTAAAAAAGATAACATGGAAGAAAGTTGTTTCTTTGTTTAACCTTCAGGGTCTGATTGGGTTTGTTTCCAAATTATGCAGGGTATTGGCAAATCCCTAAAGTATGGATTTTTCATCCTCAATGGATTGGCCAATGTGGACTATACCCTCAAAGTTGTATTGGAAAAGTAATGCAATTGAATGATGCTTTGTGACAAAGGGTAAAATATTACTAGTTGCTTCTTATTTTTTTCATGAAAGGCTAGTATAGCACTTAGGTCTGGTTTTAAAATGGCAAAAGTAACAGTGATAGTTAATAATTTACCATACTACCCAGGCACAAGATAATACATTAAGTTAATACAAATATCCTGAAATTGAGGCCCCTTACTCCAAGCATTTGCTTCCTGTACCACCAAGGAATATGAAGACCCCTTGCTATATATTATCCTTCTAAAGATAAAAGGCAACCTTATCACACATGAAATATATCAGCAGATAAGAGCACTTTGATTAATATACTGGTTGCATTTGGCATGATAAAAATGCCATGCCTATTGTAAGTTTAGTACATTATTTTTAACTATGCAGAGAAGGCTCTTCAAGTGCACAGGTCACAAAGGATCAATTATTACTGCAGCCCTAATACCTTCCCCTCTCCCTCCTCACACTATCCGCAGCAGACATATAAACGTTCCATCCCTTCTACCATATACTCACCTCCACCTACCTTTGCGTTTACTCCTCAGACACCAGTCTCCCTTCCCCCCCCCCCTCAAAAAAACCTTTGTCTTACAAAACTTCCAGACCAACTCCATTTTCAGAAACTTGAAGATATTCAAAACTATCTGCTTGAGTCCCAAAATGACACCCAAAAAACGTCATCCACCCTCAAATTCCACAACTCCCGCTCCCTCCACACTCAAAACTGACTGCCGATATCCATCCTCCTCCTACTCCCTTCCAACACAGCCCATCCTCCCCAGCTCCAACTACACCCACATTAACCCTCCCACCATCCCCTCTATCCCTTCCACTCCCTCCTGGATACAACATGAAACCCTCATGTCACAACTATGCCCTTCCCATCCTACACCCCTGATACCCCCCCCCCCTCTAATTCATTATCTCACCCCCTAGCTCATTCCCCTTCAAATTCTCCAGCACACACAGTATACATTATCACTCATAGATCAACTAAGATATAGCTCTCCTTGGAATATTGTGGTTTCTGTTCTCACAGACCTGACCTTCATCATATCCTTTCTTCTTATAACCTATCCATTACTGCCTCAAGAAACTTTTCTTACACATCCTCCTCTTCTCTGACAACCTATTCTTGTTCCTCAGACACATACATATCCTTCACTTCATTTCTTTTCCTATCTATTCAGGGCTCACTATATGGGGCTTAATGCCCATTAAGCCTTTCCCCCTTCATCAACTAGCCTATCTCATTTTGATTTTGATAATTGATACTGATACCCCATGACAACCCTATCCATTCCAAACCACCCACCCAGTTTATTACTCAACCTCCAGAATGCACACCTTCCTCTCTCCCAACATTCTTCTCTCCATCTACTGCACATTCTTCTTCAATGTCTACCCACCTCTTCCTTTATTACTATTCTTCATCCCGCCACAGACTACTCCACTTCACACCACCCCACCTTCCTTTTGCCCTTGTCCTTGTCTGCAAACCTCTTGAGTACTCTCTTTGGCCCAGCTAAGTGGGACCAATTCTTTGTGATTCCACCCACAAACCCCTACTGTGAGAATACCCTTCTCTTTTCAAATCTAGAAGGAGAAAAAAGTTACCAGATCATTATCAAGTTTCTGCAATAAGTTATAAAATCATTTCCATTTTGTTAAATTATTCCTTCTCATATCTTTATATACACAATATCCAAAGATGATTTACCATGATAGAAAAACCAAAAATGAAATATATTTATTTACAAACAGACCACACTATGACTCCTCTCTCTTCACACTTATTAAACTCAGCTCTTGAATCTGGTCTATATTCACCATGCCATAAACCTGGGAAATGACAACAGCTTTAAGAGTAAACCAATTTAAAATATAATAAAATAAAACCCACGTGAGCTACACAGGTTTGAGCAGAGCCCATGAGCCCAAGCCAAGCACTGCTTATGACAGCCTTCAAGGGGGTATTTATGCCTTTTTACTCCCATGAACGAGATACAAGTTTCCAGATGGGGCAGCATGCTATGCCTTCTCTTGAGCTTTTCCCCTCATGGGAAAGGGGAGATTCGCCAATTCTGCTGCTGGGAGGAATCCACTGGCTAGTGACTCTCTGATAACCCTGGATCTCAGGTCTCCATAATTATATACACCATAGAAGGATATGTAGGTCCTAGTGTAAATCAATGTTTACTAGTTGTCTGCATAATAAGCAGTAGAATAAGCTATTACTGCTTAAGGATGATTTATATTCTGAGGAGTCTGATGGACAAAACTATTTCACTTGTTACATTCTGCATTAGGGTGCAAGGGCAACAGGGAGCGTTGTGCCACATGGTCCTTCAAAATGAAATCTGTAAATGGAATAAATAACACAATTAATCAAAATATCAGCATCATCATAGCAATATTAATATAATTATATTAATCAATATGGAAATAGCAGAATGATACCTGTACCGGTCTCACTGTGTGTAATTGTTGGTTAGACACACTGTCCTGCCCGCTGTATTCTATGACCTGGTGCAAAGAACTGTTATAAAAGGCATAAAGACGAGACTCTAAGGCATTGGGTAACATCCAGCATTCACTTCCATTGAATGAACCTGGCAGTATCAAGGCCTTCTGCACAGGTACCAGTATCACCAAATACTTTTGTCAAGAAAGTTCATGATACCTGCTATTAGGCCAGTCCAAGGTTGGTGACTTTAACATTGTCCAGTTTTGTTCCACAATGACTTTGGAAATCAGCTATGTCCAGTATCCAGTCCATGTAAGTGTTGAAAACTGTTGATGCAAGGAAAAACTGCCTCTTGAGTTCACAGGAAGAAGTAACATAGGCCCCCACCACACTCTACAGTACTTTCAGTAACAGTATACAAGCTTGCTATTAGTCCCATGATTCTTATTGGAATTCCCTTCAGTCTTAGGATTCCCCAAGAGCAATTTGCAATGCACTAAGTCAAATGCCTTGAGGTTGATGTAGGCTGCAAGAAGCCGAATTGCCCAGGTCACTGGTGCCACAGTAGGTGGTCTCTAATGTGAGTAGGGACCTTGCCTAGTATACTGAGCAATGTAAGGCTTTGGTAATTTCTGCAATCCCATCAATCCCCTCTCTAGATATGGGGGAATACTATCAGACTACCAGATGACAGTCTAGACAGCATGCAGACCTTAGGATTACACACGCATATCCAGGTTACCAGGTAAACAAAGTAATCAGCCCAACATTCTTGCACCCCAACACTATTTGTTATAATCTGGCCATCTGGTGAGTGGACTGCAGTCACCTGTGTGGAGGCTTTGGAGTTCATTCTACTCAGGGCTTGGTAGGCTAGAAAAAAGCTATTTACTAAGAAATGACGTTCGATCTCCTCTTCAAGATTCCTGCTGTACTGTTCCTTGTTCCTTCTCAACAGTGTCCAAGTCCTACATGTCAGGGCACAAAGCAAGCAGATCCCTAGTCAGTTAGGCCGCACAAATTGCATCTTCCAGGAGGTCTTACTCTAAGGTGGTCAAGTGTTTCGTGCTTGAAGGTATCCTAAAGCACTACAGGGTCCATCAGCTTGTCAAGTGGTGTGACAGAAGAGACACACTCCCCATCCTGTCCATGTGAAACACACTAAGGCAATCCCTGAGACCCAAATGGATTTTCGAAATGCACTCAAGAGGATAGTCATAACCAATATATGGTTGGTACCACAGAACTCAGTACTCCAGTAGACAAAACAATACTACAGTGAACACAACATTTTCCTGGGGCCATTGGGTTAAGAAACAACAAGAATAAAGTAAGAAAACTAAAAATGACAACTGATCATGACAAAAAAAAAAAAGGATTACTTCAGAGTTAAAGGAAATAGGATCAATTAAAGAATCTATACATATAAAAGTAAGAAAAAGAAAATTGTAAAGAAACTTGCAAAACCACTGAGCAGAAAATATCAAGGAAATCTGTAATATGAAACTTATCCCAAGCCTACAGAAGGAGGGAAATGTCATTCTTATCTATAAGGAAGCCACAAAGGTCAGTCCAAAAAGATTAGACCAGTGGCACTAATATCTCAATATAAAAAAAATATTTGAAAGGGTATTAAAAAACAGAAAAAGAAAACCAGATACAATCTAGACAATGTGGATTTCCAAAGAGTAGGTCTTGTCTATTCTAAATCCATAACCACATGAAGCACATACTTGAAAACCTAACTGAATATAAATAAGTCGCTGTAATATACTTAGACTTTACAAAACTTTAAGTAAATTACGGTCATGAAAGTAACCATATTACTTTCATGGTCGACCCTGAAAGTTTACTCCTTAAGAAGGACTATCTTGGAATTAGATAATAGTAGGAATATAGACATGATTTCCTAACAAATTAAAAAAAAAAGTAACATAATAGTATATTCTAAAATAAATAAACTTTTAGAAGTTAAGTGCCACAAGGCTAAGTTCTTGGGCCCCGGGAGTTCTTAATTATGACTGGGGACATTAATGCAGATATTAAACAATCTGAATAGTTCTGCGGATGAGATACGGATAAGTACACTATCAAATTTAACACTGGATGTAAATAAACTGTCAAATTTAATACAGGATGAAAATAAACTATGAGAGGACCTATATGCCATTTGTAATTGGGCAAGCAGAAAATATATGAACTTCAATAAATGATAAAAACAATAACAATCAAAATTGAATAAGAACAACTGACAGTTATGTCTCACCCAAAAGCATCAGTGGCTGGTGTTGATTCCAAGTTGAACTCTGCCACAGGAACACCTCGGCTAGCAACACTGGGCGCAAACATGGCAGCTGGATAGACGACAGACGAGGTACCCACCACCAAGCAAAGGTCACAGGAGTCCAGTTCTCTGTCTGTAAATTTGGATACATTTGTAAACTTTAGTGAGATTTGTTTCTAGTCTCTCTGTCACTGTTTCATCATATCTTCATATACATATATAAAGTAGTCACACCTGTAATCTGACAGTTTAAACTTGCTTGGAGATATTGAGTATCATTAAACATAAAAAAATGTGGTAATGCATTATTCCATCCTTCATAAAAAAAAGGAAAAAGAAAGAAAAAAATCCTCATTAAGTCCATCAAAAATGGTGGGGAAGACTTACCTGTCTTTGCCAACACTGCAGGGTCTAGGCCTTCACAAACCACACTACAAAGGTCGCAGCAGCCCGGAGCACGCCTTGCACCTCGGTAAATCTGCTTCCGAAATTCTGG